GGCAGGGGGAGGGGGAGAGGTGGAGAGAGAGGGGTCACCAATCGCAATGAATGTCACATAACCACACACACCCCTCCAGGGGGAAGAACAACAGATAAGAGCTGAAAACACAGGGATCCAGGACAGATAAACACCTCAGGACCAATAATGAGAGTAGCAATGGGGAGGGGGGAAGAGGGAGGTGGAGGGGGGAAGAGGGAGGTGGAGGGGGGGATCCGAGATCCTTTATTGCCACAAGTCTCGATTTCTAACAAAGGAACATTGCCTAAAGTCATAGGTTCCCAAACTTTAGGGAACCTGCCCTACCATGCCCTTTCCAGAGGCAAAATGATAGCTATACGAATTATATATTTAAAAACGACATATATAACATAAATACTTATGTGGACATTTGTCGGTGTGCCCGCGGGTGTTACTCAGCGCCCCCTGGCGGTGGCCAGCTTTGTGCTCTAGCCCACTGTCCAGGATGAAGCACAGGCATCTGCTTTCACAGCCCCGGGGTGTGATGTTTCTCGGGGTGACACCATTGTGGGAAACACCAGCCAAGTCAACGATGAGCTACCCATGATTGAAAAGACCAGTCACTTAGAAAGCACATCTCTGACAGAAGATTCCGAGACTTGAGGATGCTTGGAAGGTATCCAAGGAAAACAGGTCAACCCGGTTAGGCGGACCAGTTCCAGTCCAAAAAACATGGGAATAGAGAAATATGCTGGGGAGCCACACCCTTAAAGACCAAGCACCCAGACTCACAGCCGCCCCGCAGGACAGGGTGGACCTGCTCGCGGCGCACGCGGGGGATTTCCGGACATGAAACCTTTACGGGAGTAGAGAGCCTCTTCGTTCTCCGAGTGAGGGGCCAAAGGACACAGAAATGTGATTGTGAGGGTTTCCCGGTCAGGTGACATCCCTTCACTCCCTAAAGATATCTAATCCCTCTCCCCAGCTTCAAAACCCTCAAGGAGACGGACACCTGCTGATCCCAGCCGATGACCAGGAGGGGAGGCCAGTTTCTCCGAGGCTTGGCCTAATAAGGGCCACACACCGCGGCCCACGTGGCAACGCTGGCTCACCAGGTTCCCAGAAGGGAATCAAGGGTCCCCACGAGCTTTCCAAAATCGGTTTGATTTGCTTTTTCAGAATCTGAGGGGCAGGGACACCCCTCCAGGGGAAGGAGACTCTGTCATTGCAGACCCGCCCCTCTTGTTCTCAGGAGCCGTCTCCGCGCCCCGACTCGGAGCAGCAGCAGAGAGGCCGCTGCCCAGCCCTGTGCCCGCCTCACAATCGTTGTTAAGTGGGAGCCCATGGTTGGCCCTGCCACGCCATCACTACCACATTAAAATGACTACCCAGAGGGGGAAGTGACCAAAGGGACACCCTCCTTGGCCAGCGATCTGCATGCGAACGGTCACCAAACCATACCATGTATATGCAGCCGCTGCAGCCCCCTTGGGGCTGCTAGAAGCGGCGCGCTCACCTCGAGAGGCACATTGGTGGAGAAAAGCCAGCAAGACATGTGGGGAAACAAAATGTAAACAGGGGCCAACTCCAGGTGGATGGCAACGAGCTCTGTTTATCCTTTAACCTGTTCCTGGTTCTCCTGATTTCCTCTAATGAGGATATGCCCCTTTACCCTCCTGAAAACACAGGGCAGTTGGCCATGGGCGTGGCTGGGAGGGCCATGTCAGAGGGAACAGGTTGCGATGGGGGCAGACTTTGGAGCAGGTTCTCTTTACCCAGATGCTAACGCTGCCCACGGTTTCTACAGGGACGGCAGAGGGAAGGAAGGGGTGGTACCTGCCGCTTGATGACCTTGGACTTGTGCTGGCTCACAAATGCCTCCATCTCACTGGGCTCCAGCTGCAGGAACCTGTGCACAAGCAGAACGGGGACCAGTCTCCCGCAGGCCCACCGCTGGCCTCCCACACCCCCACCCCCTCCCCCCACTTTAGGGGCCCTGGACCGCCACGGGGCCCTTACCTGAGCGACTGCACTGACAGAGGCACCTCGGCTTTCTCCCTGCAAGGAGAGGGGCCCCCACCGCAGGATGAGAGAGAAGTGGGGTGCTGAGAATACGGAAGACTGGGACTCGGGAGGAGGGGCAGAAGGCTGGGGTCTCAAGGGGCAGGTGGGCTCTCACCGGATGCCCTCCAGCATCTCCTTCAGTGTTGGGGGGTCAATCCGGTCCTGGGACAACAGGGGAAGAAAGCAGTGCCTGTGAGCGGCAGCCAGGCAGGGGGCAAGGATGCCCACCCGGAGCTCCAGGCCCACAGCGCTGCTCCACTCCCACCCTGCCCTCCACCTGAGCCCCCCTTAGGGCGCACACAAAGCAGCACCTTGTCCTTGCCACCCCCACCCCAGGCCCCCTCTCTGGCTGCTCTGCTCGACTCCTCCCTTTTCTCTGGGACCCTCTGGCTTCTCAGACTTGACCTCCCCCAAGGTGGGTGCAGTGTGCCTGGTGCCAAGGGGTCTTCCAGGCTTAGCTCTCTAAAACACCTAGCTGAACATCCATCCACTCGGGCCCACTGCTGGCCCAGAAGAGCTTGGCCCCTGGCAGCCAGGAGGGGCTCTCTTTGCTCTCTGGTTCCATCCCCACATCGCTGACCTCCTTGGACTGGTTCCAGAGGTCTTGTTCCAGGGGGTTTGCAGGCAATGGCGGCAGGCTAAACTTGAAGTAGGGCCTGAGGTTCTTATAGACGTAGACGCACGGGCCGGAGGCCAGGGCCAGCGCCGGCGTCCGGGGCTCATGCTGCCCCATAAGGAAGGTGACGGCGGCGGCCGGCAGGGCAGGCAGGGGGCTCTCGGTCAGCACCATCGGTCCTTTGAGCACCTTCAGGCGGGGCTGCTGCTCCCGGGGTCCAAGGTCCCCCACCACCAGCTGCAGGTGCAGACAAGGCTCCCCTCGGACTCAGGACCCACTCTCCCACTGCCCACGAGGGCTGCGCCTGCTGCTGGTGTGCACGCATTTGTGCCCCTGCAGTGCAGGCTGGGGGCCTGGGAGAGGCTCCCAGTTATCCAGTTCCAACTTCATGCATCATGCATCAGGCATTGGGCTGGCTGCTGTGAAGCCGTGAACAAGCTGGCTGCCAGACAAGTGCTTACACTGTGTATTAGAGACTGTGCCGGGGGTCCTCCCCACCCCCACCCCCACCCCTCACTGCTCGGAACCCAGGGAGAAGCACACACAAGCTGCTCAGACAATCTGGCGGTGAACGAGCCAAGGTGTCCACACCTCCCCACGACCCATTTCCTGTGTGGTGTCTGCACAATGCCAGACACAACAGGGACCCAGTGTGCCAGTCAAGTTGCTGATGCTTAGAGTCTGGGAACTGGGGGGTTGGAAGCCATCAGGACACTTCCCAGGCAGGGCAGGATGCCTGTGCATGTGATCCTGTCACTGTGCAGTCACTGCCCACAGGGAGGGAGGGCTGGACCACAGAGGATCCAGCTCATGGCTGAGAATCTGGCCGACCCGGACCTGCCACTTCCACAGACGTAAAGCAAAGAACCTGACCTCTCGGAATCTCTTTTCCCATGAATCCAACAGGGGTAAATTACATCTACGGCGGAGAAAGGGCCTCGGAGGGCTGCTCTAGAAATAGATGCTCAATACGAGTTCATTTCCTTCCTCTCAGCCCAGTGGATTTTCAACTTCTCAAAAAAAAAAAAAAACCAACCCCCAAACCTACGCCTGCTTAAAAAAAAAATCTCATTAAATCTAAAACGTAACCTTTTATTATGGAGAAATCCCAACAGTACACAAAAGTGCGGGCACTCATCTAATGAACCCCTTGACTCTCTTCGGAACCAACTCTCTTTCCTCCTGCACCCCATCATTCAGTTTCAGCAACGATCAACTCTCAAACTGCAAACCCTAACTCACTTGCCATCACTCGGGCCCACTCCTGCAGACCTTACAGGGCAGAGGAGAACTGCCCTTGTGGGTTTCCAAGACTGCCTTTTAAAGGGCGTAGAAAGCCTCATCTGTCTCCCGAGGAGCTGCTGGTGTTTTTGAACTGGTGACCTTGCAGTTAGCAGCCCAACAAGTAACCACTATCCCACCCAGGCTTTAAACCAGTCTTAACATGTAGGCCCTTTTGATAAACTGACAGCTCAGTTTGCTGCTTTCTCCTTTCCATCCAGATCCTAACACCCTGCCTTCCACCTGTGTCAGTCCGGCCAAGAAGCACGCCACCCTAAGTACATTCACAGGCTGTGGTTTAAAACCCCCAGCAGTATTGTGTTCTGCTTTATGTCCTGCAGTCTGACATCCGTGTTGTTGTTACTGTTGTTTGGTGTCAAGGAGTGGGGTTCAACTAGGCACAACAGGACCCAACACTGCCCAGCCCTGCACGGTCCTCCCAATAATACTGGAAGCCACACGCATAGCTTTGAAACACTGTCGGACAACAGTAGGTTCTCTGACCAAAGAAAAATAAAACTTAACTGATACCACGGGCTTAAATGGAGAGCAAATGTTTTGAGGATGAGGGCAACGAATGTACAAATGTGCCTGACACAATGGATGGATGTAGATTGTGATAAGAGCTGTCTGAGCCCCCAATACAGTGATTAAAATAAAGAAATAAAACATGATGTGTGTTTCCTCCCTTACACTCACTCACTGACATCAAGCCAATGTGCACTCGCAGTGACCCCCGTGGATTTCCGAGACTGAGGGGTAGAAAGCTGGGCTGCGGGTGGTCTTTAAAGGCCACCATGCAGATCGCACGCAGCCCAGTGCTAACCGTTATGCCACCAGACCACCTGGGCTCTATGAGCTTTTCCTGTGGACAGGCCAACTCCAGATGATGCTGGGCCTCTTTGGGGTCATCCCGGAATCCCACTTCTGGGTACCTTCGGCCACGCCCAGGCCCCTCCAAATCTCTCTCTGATTCCGGGGAGGGATGCTTACCTTGTATTCGCCGTCCCCGTGCAAATCGGCCAGCGCTGGGAAACGGAACGGGGCCATGAGCCGGGCCTCGGTTGGGGGGTGTGGGGCGGGCGGGGGTGGGCGACCCCAGCCGTGAGGCTTCCGTGGGGACCCCGCCTCCCAGCCCCGCAGAGCCGTGGCTTCCTGGTTCGAGACTCACCCAGACAGGAGGAAAAGGTGTGGATGTTGGCCATGGGGTCATAGTGCGCGTCCAGCCACTTGGAATTGGCCTCGCTGCTGCGGGGAGCGGACGAGAGTTGGGGAGCGAGGAACACGGGAAGGGGGGAGCCCAACTTTGAGGGAGCTATCCAGCTCTGAACTGGGGGTGCACACACGCACTCGCTCCTCGGTTCCCCTATCTGCCTTTTCAGGACCGTCAGTGCTGCCCGAAACCCTGGGCATCAGGGCACCCTCCCTACATCTGCGGGTCCGGCCGTCACCTCTCAGCTGGGCCGCAGTCGGAATCCGGAGACGCCGCCGCCATACTCGCCGTCGCCTGGCAACTAGCCCCGCCCCTGCCGGCGCGCGTCGCCCAATCCCGTGCGGGCGCCCCTCGGCGCGGGGCGGGGCTTCCGGGCGGTTCGTCCCGCGTTTCCGGGCTCCTGGCCGGCAGGAGCGCCCCCACCTCCCCCGGCGCCTCCGCTTCCGGAGTGGGCGGCGGGGCCGCAGGCTCCGGCATCGGGAGCCCTGGCCGGCTGGTGACTTCGGGCGGAGGGCTTCGTCCCCGGGCGAGACCTGGGATCGTGCAGTCAAGAAGGGCAAGGCCTCGACGAGATGGGCTGACGTGACCAGGGTGCTACGAGCGGGGACCTGCTGGACCAGAGTGGCCTTCGTCCATCTCCGTGGCTAACCCGCGGGAGGCCGAGGCCCCGCCCCTGCTTTGGACCTCACTCCCCAGGTCCAGGCGCAGAGGAAGGAAGCACAAGGATTCAGGGGTAGTGCAGATGGACTTCTAGAATAATGACTGAAGTCAAGCACTTCCTTGGGGGACGGGGCACTACTGGGATATTTCTCAAATGCAGAACTGCCGAAGGAGGACTGCAAAAATGTCCACGTCTGTGACTCTTAGCATATCAGTTATTTGAACGGATGTCCAAAAAGAAAGCCTGTGGTCAATGGGAAGCTAGAAATTGAAGCTCCTGAGGGTGGCACAGAGGTGACCCAGTTACTGACCACCAGGTTACCACGCAGTTACTAACCCACCAGGGGCCCTCAGAAGAAAGCGCTGGCAATCTGCTTCAGAAAGGACACAGCCCGAAGGTGCTATAGACCCACACTCAGCATGGCCGTCGGCTGGAATTCACTCCAGGGCAGCTGGTTTGGTTTGGGATTTGTCCCTTCCCAGGAGATGAGAAGACTGGAGGGCAGGAAGACCCACACCATTGTAAGGCGGTGTTTGCTTCTAATGTTTATTTTTCTGGTTCTAAAAGTAACACATGAACAGCACTGGATTTGGCAAGGTTTTGAGTCCAGGCTCTGCCAAGTACCACCTGCAGGATCTAGACAAGCCACTTCTCAGAACTTCCATTTCCGTTTCTGGAAACCAGGATAAGGAGCCCCCCCCACCCCGTCTTGCCAACTCCCTAGTTGACGGCAAGGATGAATGCAACCCGGAGAGGAAGCACTTGGAAATGTGGGAGGTGCTGACTCGTGGGAGGGCTCAGTGTCACCACCCTCCTGCCTTGAGCTAGCACCAAGGTCAGAGCTCCTGCCCCTCCCCCCAGCCCCTCCAAATACAAGCCTAAAGCCAAAGCCCCGGTTTGCTGGAGTGGAAGGGCCGCATAAAGCTTCCTCAAGCCTGGCCAGCTGGGACCTCACGGGGCCCCTTCCAGAATCGGGCATCAGCCGTGGCCAGCTGGGTGAGGACCTGCTCCAGCTCGGGCCCATCCTCAGGGAAGCGCTCGGAGAAGGATCGGATGAGGCCAGCAGCCGAGGCCTCATACTCCAGGAGCTGCACTTCTGAGCCTGTGGAGGAGACAGAGAGAGGAGGGCAGCAGAGAGCCGGCTGAGTTGGAAACGTGGAATCAAGGCACTCATAGGGCAGCGAGCTGGCTGTTACTGAGCTGGGGCTGGTGCCAGAAACGAGGCCCAGTGTTGAATGCAAGGCTCACGATCTCGTTGACTCCTCCTCACTGTCTCAACAAACACTTCGCATTTATAAGAGCAGTAAAAAAAAAAAATCTGTGTGGCTATTCTGCGCATTAACGACTTCGGCCTGGTAATAGCAACACTGAGGAGGAAGTAACGCTCGTGGACATGGTTAAGGCTGTGCACGTCAACTTGCTGCTCTGTGGTGTGGCCATTCTGTCACGATGAAACCTGGCATTCGTGCAAAGATGTAATTATCCTCCATTCTGTGGTCGGATGCAAGCCTCCACTCACAAGGCTGATTTTCGCCTAACAACCTGGCCATTGGAACCTAAGCACGTTAATATGTGAGCAGGGCCTTTAAAAGGAGCATGATAAATTGCTCCTTTCATGTTTGTTTATGTAACAAAGATTTATCGTGTAATGCCACATACCAGATGCCAGGCTAGGTGACTTCAACACAGTCCAGCTGTGGCTTCATCTGCTTACTGTGGGACGTTGGGCAAGGGTCTCAAGCGAAGCCCCAATTTCCTCATCTCTACGGTGGGGGTAAAGATAGTGCCTCACCTCTAAGGCCCTCTGGTGAGACCTGAGCGTCACAGTGCAGAGTGTGTGTTCACGGACGCTGGCCACCACCAGCGTCATTACGAGGGCCCTTCAGAAAGTGTGTGGGAAAATGCTGGTATCTGTCCATCTCATTTTCCCTTTTTGTGACATAGAATGAAGTGCTGATGGGCAATCTTTGCCTCTAACACACACTTCCGCTGCCCTCCCCACCCACAGCACCTGACCACGCCCAGGAGGCCTCACGCACTGTTGCTACAAGCAGAGGTTCCAGGTTCAGGAGGTCAAAGTTCAAACCCTGGCTCTGCCACCCACTGGGTGAGCGCTCAGGTGCTATCCAGCCCCTTTGTGCCTCAGTTTCCTGTTGGAACATGGGGAAGGGCCCCTCGTTTCTCACTGGGTTGCTAGGAGTTAATCCGTGGCAAGTTTTGAATCCATGGAAGTCCTCTAAAGTTAGTTCTCACCACCACCATCACCATCAGCACAACCACCCCAGGAAATCCTCAGGCCTAGTTTTAACTACCACTTCTTCCCTGAGCCCCTAAAAGGCCCAAGCAGCCTTCCCCTCTCTAAGTGTCGGCTTCTCTGGGTCATTCCTAAAAGCCCTCCCCACCACTTGTCTTATTATTCAGCCTCCTGTCCTGTCATTCCCGACGGACTGTAATTTGAGGCAGGGCCTGGGTCCATTTGCCTGTCCTTCCCCACTGGTTTGCAGCAGCCTGAACGCGCTATAACGACAGTTGTTCCTGCCAAACCAGCATCATTCATTCACTTATGCACTTGACACTGAGCAGCTCCTGTATGCCAGGCCCCGGACTCGGTGGTGGGGACTCACTGTTCCTGTGCTCCCAGAGACACCTACAAGAGGCGCTGGGTCCCCCAGGGGCTCTTTATGCAAAACCTGCACCGGCAACATCGACAGGGTCAGGGCTTCCTGATAAACGGAACCATTGCTGAGATGGGAGAGGGACCAAGGGATGGCACGTCTCCATCCGGGACGTTCTCCTGGGCTCCACTCGGCCTGCTGGTCCTAACTCGCTGGCTGCCCTGACCTCGCTCAGAGGCATCTGGTCTGGCTGTTCCCCTAGCCCCGGTCTGCCGGCCCTCCTTCCTGACACCTCCTGTGGTCACACTAGCAGCACGGCTGTGGTGTGCAGTGGTGGTATGTGGGGGGATGTCAGATCCTTGCTGTCAGACTGCTGTGTCATCCCACCACAGGGGTGGGCCAATGGACAGGCTCCTGTGGGCGGAGTTCGCATCCTACTGATAATGGTCTCTATCAGTTGGGCCAGGGACAGGCCAAACCGGCTGTCCCTCCTCTTCCTGTAGCGTGTATGTCCCTAGATCACCCCCTCCCATCACTGTAATACCTGTAGCACAACCCTTTCCTGTGACGTATGTCTTCACCTGTAATGTGGGGGCTTGCACGTCCTCAACGTCCCCAGAGAGTATAAAAGCTTGGGGAGCATTAAAGTTCGCTCCCACTCCCTCCACGTGGACCACCAAGCGGGGCTGAGGTGAGCATGCTACCATGAAATGTGTCTGACTCCATTTATTTCTATATATCTCTTTTATCTCTCATGCTCTCTATAACTTTACTATATTATTTACTTATTATCGCTGTACAATTGCGCCTACCGAACCCGTGGTGATTGTGCTAGGAGCTGGCTTCTTCTGGCAGTGGTAGGGTAGTTGGCAAGGTTTGGGCCGAGGTCTGTCATGGGGAGGACCAACCACTGCAGGGATGGACTGAGGGAGGAAAGGGCCACCCCACACAGCCTCAGGGACCCCAGGCAGGCTCTAGAACGCCTTGGTGCTCCCGCCAGGCCCCACATGTCACCTGCATCACAGGAAGCTCCAGTATGTTACCTTCAAGGCGGGTGTTGGGCTGAACGATGAGTTTCCGAGATTCTTTGCGCAGCAGAACCGTGTCCCTGAGGGTGAGGAAGCACTCGGGGGGCGTGTCTGTGACGGCTGCGTACCCCTCGTACAGGGCCCGCCCCCCGGCCACGTCCCCTGTGGACTTCAGCACCTGTGGGAAGGCAGGAAGGAAGAATGACGAGGATGGGTGCCCTTCCCTGCCCAGACCCACAGCTGTGTGTTTCCGGCCCTCTCAGCTGTGCCACCCCAGACAAGAGACTAGACCACTCTGAGGTGATAGCCCTCAGTGGGACTAGTGTCCTCTCTCAGTGTCACTGTCCTGGGTGAGTGAGAAATGCAGACGAACTGAAGGGCACAGGAAGCGTCAGAGGAAGGCGGGAGGAACAGACAAAGGTCACGGTACGAACAGGGCAGGCCCATTCTTTTTGACGCGTCATATACAAAATTGTCCTCAAGTCAACTCAGGCTCAAGGTGACCGGAGACCCTGGAGAATGGGCTGGACTGTCATCTAGGGCAGCAGGCTGCCACATCTTCCTCCCGCGGCACGGCTGGTGGTTTGGGTTTTGAACTGCTAGCCTTGCCGATCACATGAAATCACTGCTCAACATCCCATCACCGAACGCCTTCTTTTACTGAGACACGACTGAATGCAGGCTGCCCGTGCCGCAGTGCGCAGGCCTGTCTGCCCTCTGAGGCCGAGATCTGGCTTCCTGGGAGAGCTGCTGGGCCTGCAGGTCAGGTGAACGGTCGGCTTTAAGCCACGAGGCCGACAGTTTTCTGGAGGGAAGCTCCCAGAGGTGCTCACTGCTCAGGGCACACAGTCGATGTGGGTGTGGGCTACAAAAAGGCTGTTCCCCAGCTCGTCTCCCCCAAATATAGATGTCAGACCTAGGACACTGCTTGCAGCTAATGGTAAATGACTGTCAAGTCATCTCCCTGAAGACACCAGCCTTCCAGAGCAAGCAGACACGGTTGTTTCTCCCACAATGGGCAGGGCTCACTCCCGGCTGTTAGGGTCAGTGGACTGCTTCCCCTGAAAGCTTAGGGTAAATAAAGTCTCCAGCTCTAGGGCAACCAAGGTTAGGCCGCCATCATGAATCTAGGACCTGCCCAACTTGTCACGCCCTCAACTTGTCACATGTGTACCCCAACCCTCCCCTTCCTATTGCATGTATACCCCTAGATCGTCCCCCTCTCATTACTGTATAACCTATAGCACAACCCCTTTCTGTGACGTATGTCTTTACCTGTAATTAGGGGGCTTGCATGCCCCCCAAAGGTCTATAAGCCTTGGTTAGCAATAAAGAAACTCTCTCCTGCCCTGTACCCCCAAGAGGAGCTGAGGTAAGCATACTACCATGAAATGTGTCTGACTCCATTATGCCAATCTCTCTTCGATCTCTCATATTCTCTATGATTTTACTATAATCTTTACTTATTATCGCTGTACAATTGCGCCTACCGGACCTGTGATGATTGTTAGGGGCAGGCTCCCCTGACAGTCGAGGTGGGCAGTTTTCGAGGGTCGGCAAGCTGGGTGGGTAGATGTAGTTTCTCACCTGGTTGAAGTGACAATTCCCTGAACACTGATGAGCCCGGGCATCTTCCCACGAGTGGGCAGGCTATTGGTTTTTCTCGTCTGTTGGTGATTTTGCATTATATCTTGGTGGGCCTATCGCCTCCTGCTCCTGTTTGTCTAAGGGCTCCAGCTGGGTAGGCAGGATGCCAGGCTGTACTGACCACTGTCTTCGCTTCCCATCGCCCAACTTCGCTCCAGGCCGCCTCGGCCCTCAGCCCTCAGCCCTCAGCCCCACGCGCTCACTGCCTGCTCAGGGACTTGGTGTGGCGGCGCCTCTGGTGCCACAGCTCCTTCTCCCTCAAACGTCACCTCCCCCAAGGGTTCCCTGGTCACGCTGAGGGCCTGCTCCTCTCCTCACCCAGCACACCTGCTGACACATCACCGGTTCTGTCGTCCTGACAGTTCTCGTCATCCTTGGACAAGATCCTGCCTACTTATTCTACCTTCCCTCACAGCTCCATGAGCTCCTCGGTGACCGGCCCACGGCGATCCTCATATGCAGGCTGAGTGAGTGACTGTGTACAGGTTCAATCAATCATAGTACACAGTCTGAGGGAATGGTAGTATATAGACAGAAGGAACGGTTGTATACAGACTAAGTGAATGGGTGTATATAGATGGAATGAGTGATTGTATATAGACTGAGTGAATGACTGTGTACAGACTGAGTGAACGATTATATAGCTGGAGTACATGACTGTACAGAGCCTGAATGAGTGCTTGTATGGAGACGGAATAAATGGTTCTAACAGACTGAGTGATCGGATACAGACTGAACGAAAGGTTTGCAAATAGCGACGTGAGTGAATGGCTATTTTTAAACAGCAGGAGTAATAAGCGAGGTAAGCAGCACGGGCTGACTTGTGCTTACTTGCTAATCTGCAAGGAACATTTTCACATGATGTGAAACTCTTCACTACAGATGAATAAGTAAGCCCAAGTCAACTGGTGCTTACCTTGCTGACTGGGTACATAGTCCCCGCTAGGGACCCTGAACCGGAAGAGGCTTTGCTTGTTTCTGTAGGAAGGGCTGAACGGTTAAGAGAGAGAGGCAACTGCAGCCAAACTTAGAAGCGGGATCTCTGAGGTGGCAGAAACATGAAATTATTAATTGCAGTGAGGAGGTAAGCACAAGTCTGCTGGTGCTTACCTGGCTTACTGAGTAATCTGATCCTAGCAGTCTGAATGAGCCGAAGAGGTGCCTCTGGGGGGCGGGGGGCTCACAGGGAGCAGACGAGGTGGGGGGATATTGGGTGGTGGCCTCCAGAGAGGGGCATCACTTACCTGTAGTCTCCGCAGGAAGCACTGCAGGGCGGGCTTGCCCACAGAACGGATCTTACCGCGGTCTAGGGAGACCCGGGCATCTGGCCGCCCGTCGGAGCCCGTGGTGTGAGTGATGGTGACGAGCCCCTCGCCAGCCTCCAGCAAGACCCTCAGGATGACAAACCGGGCCTGCATGTGGGCCTGTGGGGACAGGCAGAGAGGACACTGAACCCCAGGCACCTGGTTCAAGGTCCAGGGGATCACATGGGCTGTTCCCACTCCGGAGCCCAGATGCCATAGCGGATTACACACTAGGCTGCTAACTTCAAGGTTGGCAGTTCAAAACCGCCAGCCGCGCCACCAGAGAAAGATGAGGCTCTCTACTTCTGTGAAGGGTTACAGACTTGGAAACCCAGAGGAGCAGTTCTGCTCTGTCCCTCGGAGTGAAATCGCTCTGATCGCTGTCGACTCTGGCTCAGGGAGACCCCCTGTGGCTCAGAAGAGAACTGCGCCCTGTTGGGTCTCCAGGGGCTGCTGTTTGGGGATTTTTCCACCAGAAGTAGATCCCCAGGTCTGCCATCCGAGGTTCTTCTCGGTGGACTCCGACCTTGGCCTTTCAGTTTGCACTCAGGCCAAGTGAACGGCTGTTCTGAATCAAAACCAGACCCGTGGCCATCGAGGCGGTCCCGACGGCGGGAAACCCCACACTGGGTTTGAGACTCTGAGTCTCTGTGGGGGAGGCACCTTTGTCTCGAGTCGTGGCCGGTGGGTGCGAACAGCTGACCTTGCCCCTAGCAGCCCCGTGCTTACTCCACCACGACACCAGTGATGCCTGACACCAAACGCACTGCCGCTGGGAGCGCGTCCAACTCACAGCAAGTCGACGTCCGGTCTCCAAGACGGCCCATCTTTATGGGAGCAGGCAGCCTCCTCTCTCCCCGAGGAGTGGCTGGTGGGTACAACCGCCAACCATGTGCTTAGCAGCCCTGAAGCTTATCCCCAGGCCACTGTTCACGGAGGTACAGTCCCCTCGAGGCTGCTGCTGGGAGGGAGTGTCAGCCTCACTCGCGGGGCACCTCCGGGGCTACACTCACTCTCCAACCACATCGAATGGCCGTCCCACCCCCGGCTTGTGGGATCCTGGCCTTGGCACCCCCTGCAGACTCCCATGAACTCCCGCGAACCCAGTCCCTACCTGCCTCCAGTTGGAGGCCTCCGGGGTGTAGAACTCCAGGGCTAGCAGCCCCGCCCGGACCATGTTCAGCCAGTTGACATAGATCACATTCTCGGCGTCAGCCCCCTCGAAGCCAAAGATCCTGTGTTGGAGGTGGCAGGGAGATCAGAGGCCGCCCTCCGCCGCCACCCCCACGGCTGCCGGGGGCACCCCTCCGCCCAGCCGGCCCAGCCCGCACATACTCCAGCACGAGGGGGTTGAGGCAGAGGTAGAGGCCCACGCTCTCAGCGCGGCACTCCTCGTAGCTGGAGGCGATGGTGCTGAACTTGCTGTCCCACGTCTCCCCGCTCCGGTACCAGCTCTGGATCTGCGCCGGGAGGCCCAGGAAGCAGCTTTAGGGGCAGCTGCCTCCCTCCTGCCCGCCCCCTCAGCCTCCACAGCCCCCAGCTCACCTGCTCCCCCGTCTCCGGGTTGATGAGGGTCTCCCGGTCGAAGTTGAACGCTCCTTTCTCATCCTGCAGAACACACACACACACGTGGGGTGGGCGAGGGACAGAGCAGGGTCTGTGACCCGGGGTCCAGGGCGGCCGAGGGAACCGAGACACAGCTCAAACAGGAGAGGGAGGAGCGAGCAGGTGCACCGACCCTGCAATGCCTCCAGCCTCCAATCCTCAAAGTCCCAAGACGCCTGCCGGCTCTTTGGAGCCCCCAGTGGCAGCGGTGGGACAACCAGAGCCACCACCCACCCGGCACAGACTGGGGAGGGCCTGGCCCCGAGGGAGGCTCAGACCCCAGGTGGTGGGTAGGATGCCATAGTGGGTGTGCCTCATTACCCCTCTTCACAGCCAAGAGCTGCACGCTGGAGGCAGAGCACATGTGCTGAGCACGCTGCCTGCTCACCACACCCACGTGCCAGGCAGGAGCCCCACCCCGCCATAGCCCAGCTGGCGGGGTGGCGCTCCCATCTCCCAGATGAGCAAAACGGAGGCTCCATGAGGGAGCCGACCGATCCGAGGCCACACGGAGGCCATGTTTGCCCCTCCACTTCCCCCGGACTTCAGGGCCTGGACAACAGCAGGCTGTTCTCCCTGCCACCACCTCGGAAGACCCTCTGGTCCCCCAGGGCCCTGCTCCAGCCCCACTCTCACAGGAGGTCCTGGCTCTGTGCCTGCCCCGTCTCATCTCATGGGGGCAGCACTGGGTCCGGCCTCCCTGACACCCTCTGCCCAGCCACCTGAGCAGAACCGAGGGGGCTCCCGCCACTCTGGCAGGAAGAGGACAGGGGAGGACAGATAGAACCACAGCCTCTGGTTGGAGGTTTCTGGGCAGGGAAGCGTGCGTGTGATGGAGACCCTGAGGGTCCTCGGACGTCCTCCATCCCCTGCTTCCCCACAGGGCCCGGGCGGGGAAGGTGGGCCTGGATGCTCACCTGCACAAAGAGCTTGCCGCTGCCGTGACCCAGCAGTTCGTGCAGACCCACCTGCACGTCGAAGGAGGGCCCCTTCCAGCGCACGTACAGATCCTGCCAAGGAGCAGAGAGGCAGCTGCCGGCTGGGGCCACGGCCATGGCCACGACCAGGCACACACACTTCCTTGATGGAGGTCAGGCCCATCGTGGGGGCCACCTGGGGAAACTGAGGCTTGGGGCCTGTGCACCCACCTTGTCGTCCTCGCCCAGGAACGTGAGCTTCTCCCGCTGCGTGGCGTAGGCCACGGCCAGCACGTTGCCCAGCGACAGGTTCTTAAAGCCCTCCGTCTGCCGCAGGTCGTCGTCTGAGGTGGGGAAGGGGGACAAGGGCAGGGGTCACGCGGCAGCGGCGAGCAGCGGGGGCGTGGGAGGGGGAGGGCCCCCACAAACGCTCACAGTTGGGGATGTTGATGCCGGCGGGGATGCCGGAGCCGGCGAAGGTGAGCACGTCCAGGGAGGTGAAGTCGGGGGTGAGGAACTTGTCCTTCTCGAAGGCAGGGGGCCATGGCAGCTCCTTCAGCAGCTGCTCCGCGCTGGCCACCAGACGCTCGAACTTGGCGCTCATGGCCTTGTTCACCATGGCCACGAAGCCTGCGGGGGAGCCGGCCACGGTCAGTCACAGCAGGATCCCCTTGCAGCAGCTCCGGGCATGTGCCCCGGCCCGTGCTCGGGCAGGCAGGCACGGGCCCTTCTCGTGTCTCCTGACCACTGCAGGAGAAAGACTGCCCAGAGGTCCAGCTCATGGGCTCCGGGCCGAGCAGCCAGGAGGTGGCCAGCTGGGCTAGGGACACAGAGGAGTGACTCGGAGTGTAGCCAGCCACCACTAGGCCTCTGTCGGGTGGGGATGAAAGTCCCCATTGGCCGAGGATGTCGAAGTGAGCTACCAGAGGTCAATGTCACACAATGGAGCCTGGTCCCCAGTCGGTGTTGTTATTATTTTGTGGGGGTGGGGGGAACGTGAGGGACTCAGATCTGACCCCCTCTCACTCCCAGAGGTTACCTTCGAACTCTCCTCGGGAGCCAAAGGGGTCGCGGTAGCTCTCGATGAACCCGATGTAACTGGGGGAGAGAAAGCAGAGGTGGAGGGATGGGCAGGTGGGGCGAGGGGCGGGGGGCAGGGGGACGCCGCCTCACCTCTCCACTATGGGGCCTTTGTCCTGGATCCAGAAGTGGGAACCCCTCTTGTGGGCCTCTATGGAGCCCTGGGTGAAGCTGTCCACATACTGGGCCAGCATCTGCTCCTGGTGGCTGTTGGCGGCATATGCCTGGGGGAGCAAGGCTCCGTCGTACTCCCCTTTGATTTGCCGTGGGGTCCCGAGCCCGCGCCCCTGAACTCGGCCTACCTTGGCTTTCTCCAGGTGCTCTACCACCTTGTGGAGGAGGGGCGAGTAGTCCCCCCGGGTCACCTGGAAGCAGCTACCCTGGAATTCATAGCTCTTCAACTTGGAAGTCACATCCGAGTCCAGAGCAGGGTCTGTAAGGAAGGGGGTTCATGCAGGGAAAGGACACTGTGAGACACTCAGGAGGCTTCTCACATGGCAGGAACTCTTTCACGCTAAGCTCTTCAATGGCTCCCTATTGCCCACGGAAATCAGTATAGTACATATAAAGTCTAGAAACATATCCATAAAACGATTTTCCTAGAGCAGGGATGGGAGCGTCTGGCCCCCTGCGCCCTGGTGCTCTGGGAAGATTAAGGAGAGAATAACCTCTGAACCTGCCTGGGTCTGGGCTCACCTGTGCCAAGCACGGAGGCCAGGCGCACCTCATAGCGGGGTTTCCCATCCTGGCCCAGCTCTTTGAAGAGCCGAGTGTTGTAGGCACTGAGGTTCTGGAAAAGACCAGGGCAGGGGTTGGGGAGAGAGTGAGAGTGAGAGAGAAAGAGAGAACAAAGAATCAAAGCAGGCTGGGACAGGTGAGCGCCGTCCTGAGCCTGGGGCTCTCCTGGCCACAAATATGGCATGGGGTGAGGCGGGGTTGGGACAGTTCCGCACACCCACGTCCCCTCACCCCCCTAGAGAGAGGGTGCTCAAAGTCTCTTCCACTCCAAGGGCTAAGGGGCCCCAGCTCTGAGCTGGGAAACAAGAGTGGACATTAGCAAGGGGGCTGGGTGGGTAGCCCCATCCAACCACGGCCCTGAGCCCCCAACCCCCGAACCTGAGAATCCAGGAAGTCTTGGGCCAGCTTGGCATCGTCCAAGGTGCAGTCTCCAGAGAAATACGTGGTGACGCCCTGTTGGGGAAGGGAGGGGAGAAGGCAGGGCACCTGGCTAATCCCTCCTCGGGGCGCCCTCTCCTGCCAGTGACCTCTGACCTGCTACCGCCCTCCCCCCTTTTCTCTCAATTCTCATCTCTTTCCCAGGAGAAAAAAAGAATTCCAAATTCACTGCCGCGGAGTCAATACACTGACTCAGAGTGACTGCCAGGCAGAGCAGAGACCGCCCCTGCGAGTGTCCGAGGACAGCTTTGACCGCAGAAAGCCCGTGTTTCTCCCACAGAGCCCTGGGTGGTTTCCCACTGCTGACCTTGCAGATCGCAGCCTAATTCGTAACCACGACACTACCCGGGGGCCCCAAGGGGAAAGCACTGTAAAACAACGAACACAGAAGCAAAGGGGGGAAGAGGAACCCACTTGTTCTCTTCCGAGGGCAGACGTGGACACCCGCTCAGACCCGAGCTCAGAGCTCATCCCCTGTATCTTGATCCCACCTCTCAATGCCGGCCCGCAGCTTCTAACAGGCTGCACCCTGCAGTCCCCGGTCACCCACCCCTGTGCCCCACAGAGCCCGGAAGCCTGAGACTGCTCCCTCGTCACCACCCTTCCTGGCTCCTTCTCCCTGCCTGGCTCCTGCTCACAGCACCTGGGATGTCACACCAGAACAGCCCTGCCTCAGAGGGTGCCCCCCAGTCCCCCTTCCCACCTTCCCCTGCCCGTCTCTCCACCCCCAATCAGGACACCCTCCATGTGGGCGGGGCCTCACCTCCTTCCCCAGCCCCAGGTGCCGGAGCTGAGGCTCCAGAGAGAACATGCGTTCCCCGCAGGTCTGCCAGAGGCCCCCAACTTCTTCGGGGTGCTGCTGAGCAGCTACGCTGCCCAGGATCAAGCGTTCCAGCTTCTCCTGTGGGGAAAGGGAGGCCATCAGGCTGGCCGGAGCTGGAAACCTGCCCTCCAAAGCCTCCCTCGGGGGAGAAGTGGAACTCCTCCCGAAGGGTTTCAAGCCTGAGCCTGTTCAGACACAGACAGCCAGGCTTTTCCTCTGCTGCACCTCTGGGTGGGTCTGCACCGCCAACTTTCAGGGCACAGTGGGCCTGCTGAGCCACCACCCGGGGACCTAGCAGCCCAGACACGGGCGTGAGGAAATGCCACACGCGGGGCCCCTGCGCCGTCAGAAGCTGATGCCATCGGAGCCCAAGTCCCCTGTCCTGGCCCTGGTCACAACCAACCGGCTCCTAGTTTGCAAGCGGCTGAGTCCGCAAAGGAGCTCTGGTGGTGGAGTGGGTCAGGTGGGGTGCTGCAAACCGCGAGGTCAGCGGTTCACACCCAGCAGCCGCTTCTCAGGAGAAAGAAGAGGCAGTCTGCTTCCACACAGACTCACGGCTTCAGAAACCCTACAGAGCAGCTCTACTGTGCCGTGCAGCAGGGTCGCTGGGAGTCCGCACCCGCCCTGGGGCAGGGAGCTTTCTGTCTGTCCACAGACAAGCCTCATGCTGTCTTTCCCGAGAGGAGGCTGCGTGCTCAGCGAGGCTGGGCGGCCAGGAGGGCCGGGCCTCCTCTTCCAGCTGCGCCCCAACTCCGCCAGCCCAGTGCTCCCACCTCCCCCATCTCTCCAGCAGCTCACCTTGGACAGGTTGGGGACAAACTTCGTGTCGCCAAAGGATTTGTAGTTGCCCATGTTGGAGTAGACGCCCGCCGCGTAGACCAGGAACGCCTGGGGGAGGGGGGGAACATCAGAGACCCCCGAGACTCAGCCTTGCAGGTCTAGGGAGGATTCCTCCCACGATGTGAACACCCGGATGAACTGGTCTGGGTGAGGCTGGGCAATCGGGGTGCAGGACAGAAGGCTCCAACTGGCCCCAACAGACCCCATTGTCCAGCCAAACTGGTCCTCTCGGGAATTCCCAAACACACCCAACCGCTTAGCCCCTCCTGCCTCTTCCACCCACAGCTCCCGTGCCCATTCCAGTGAGGCTCTAAGGCCCAGAAACCCCACCTGTGGCCACTCCCACCCTGTCAAGGAGATTTATAAGAAAGGAACCCCGTGGAAGTTCTCCAAGATAGAGTGTTCTGTGGTAAAAGCAAGGAGGCACTGACCAGTCTGGGGGGTATGACCCCACTGACGACCACCAGAAACCAAGGAACTGATCCAGGCAGGTATGTGGCCTGAGCCACCTACACTCCAAATCTATTCCCTCTCCCTCTGGGCCCAAGGCCTCCCTCTCCCTCTCTGGAGCACTAACTCACCCAGTTCCACTGCCAGAACCTCCCCTGCCCGAGCTCCCTGACGATTTTGAGGAAGGAGTGACCTTCAAGCTGGCCAGTATCAGTCCTACTCAGGAGACTTCCAACGTTATTTAAATCGCCACTGGTTGATGCAAAAAAACGTGAACCAAAGTCCTACCATTGAGTTCTGGCTGGTACTGACTGACCTTAGTGGGCAGAGTAGAACTGTCCCAGTGGGTTTCCAAGACTAACTTTTTTACAGGAGTAGAAAGCCTCCTCTTTCTCCCTCAGAGAGGCTGGTGGTTTCAAACTGCTGACCTTGCGGTTAGCTGCCCAATGCATCACCCACTACACCACCAGGGCTCCGTGGCTGACACCAGGCACCATCAGGTCTGCAGCCCCTGGGGCTCGAGGATTGGAGCGAGGCAAGAAAGCAAAGCTGAGACGAGGGCTGCTTCCCACAGTCCCACTGAGCCCCTGGATCCAGCCGTGCCTGAAGCCTCCTCTACAGCTGGCTGTTCAACTATTAGAGTCAGTAATTTTCTTTCGAGCTGGGGGGCGTTACTTGCAAAAGGAAGAATGCCACTGAAAACAGGGAACCTTGGATCGAATGGTGTCCCGGCCACAACACATCTGTCCCCTCGGTAAGCACAAGAAGCTCCGTGGCTTGGCAGTTATGTGAACGAGGCAGGATGCCGTGGCCAGGATTAGGTTGTTGCTTGAATCAGTCTCTTTTTACGCATAAAAGAGATTAAATAAGTGAGCAGAGATCAAGGGAACTCCCTAGCTACCACGGAGAAAGAAGAGCTGGTAGCAGGGCACGTCCTTTGGACCCAGAGCCCCTGTGCTGGGAACCATCAGGACACACACACACACAGAAAGCCTTCCCCTGGAGCAGGGTAGGCAACCTTTTTCTGCCAAGGGCCAGCTGGATATTTGTAACACTCGAGGTGCCATACAAAATCATCCATGTCAAAACTAGCCGGTTCTATCTGGTCAAACGATTCATTAATTCACCCCGAATGTGATGGCGGAGGGAGCCCCAGTGGTGGGTTGCTAACCACCAGGTCAGCAGTTTGAAACCACCAACCACACCTCGGGAGAAAGAGGAAGCTTTCTCCTCCCATAAAGACTGACAGTCCTACAGACCCACAGGGGCAGTGCCACCCGGTTCTGCCGGGCAGCCGGGAGTCAGAGTCAACTCAATGGCAGTAAGCTTGTAAATGGGATGGCTGGAACGGCTTCACTCTGGGGAGGCATGTGTGGTTGGCGGGGATGGAGGACTTCACAGGGGACGACGGCATGGTTGCGGGGCTGGGCTGCTAGGCACAAGATCAGCAGTTCGATACCAGCAGCAGCTCCAAGGGAGACTGACGAGGCTTTCCACACACACACACACACACACACACACACACACACACACACACACACACACACACACACACACACACACACACACACACACGGCTCACTGTCAGGGAAACGGGACCATCCCGGAAGGAAACATGAGGCCACCGTGAGGCACGCTTCTGGGGCCGCTCGGCCAGAAGGAAAGCACCGGATAGACTTAGGAGCACCTCACGGAAGGTCTCCAAGACCCAGCAGATGTGGAGAGCATGATCTCATTACAGGAAGCGGGAACGAGGAAGTGACAGGGGAGGGCAGGTACCCAGACAGGTGTGCCGCACACAGGCAGGGTGAGCCTCAGCGGTTCCTCTGAGGAGGACCCAGAGAGCTGAGCTTTGCGAACAGGGAGCAGGTAGAAAGAGCATTCTGCCCATCGACACACGACGTGCAAGAGGAAGAACTAGCCTTGGACTCGGACTTCCTATTCCTACTCGGAACCCAATCCTCTCCCTGCCCGGGCTCTGCAGGGCCAGAGCGGCTCCCTTGGTCCACTCAGCAGCCACCTTCCCTTGTGGGGTTCAGCCCCATGCCCAGGGTGGGCCACCAGCACCCCGAGAGGCACAGACAACCCTGGGGAACAGCTGGCGGGTGACAAGATTGAGGGTCCCTAGGGACGGCTCCTCCCTGTCATTTCCATTGATTCTTCCGGTAGGAGAGAGGGAGAGGGAATGGTGCTCCTGGCGGGAGCCTCGCCCTCAGACCTGATACTCCTCCTCAGTGAGGCCTTCGGCCAGGGCGTGCTGGCGCAGCTGGTCCGGGTCCTGGGCCCGGAAGAGGCGGCTGAGCAGGGCGTAGATGTAGGGGGCCTCTGGGGAGGTCTGCAGCAGCACAGCCAGGCCGCCGTACCAGGCGGCCCGAGACAGGTAGTGGGCATAGATGCGTTCCGTGGGCGAGAGCAGGTGGAAGGCCTCTCGGCAGTCCAAGGCCGACACACCGATGTCATTGGGCAAGATGTACTGGGTGTCCGCCATGGGCCCTGTGGAGAACCATCACCGCTGTCACCGCAGGCACCAAGGCACCCCTGGCACCACCACCCCCAGCCCCAAGCCGGGGGAGAAGGGAAGGCAATTGACCCCCGAGACGGTCAAACTGTGTGTCCACTAGTGTTACAGACAGGGAAACTGAGGCACAGAGAGCTAGGAGCCAGGCCTCCCCTTACAGAGGGAGGGGTGTCCCTGCCCAGGCCCCTGCCTTTGCCTCCTCTTCTCCTGGACTCTCGGAGAGACCCCCCACGCGGAGTTCCCAAGGGCAGTCCGCCTCCAGCCCTGGCTCCGCCGCACGCGCCCAGGAAGTGGGGCCTCGCTTTGCGGCACGCGTGCGTTTCCCCCTCTAAACTGGGGGCCGGAAGACCCCGGTGCAGCAGGACCAGACGCGGGCGCGCGGGCGGGTGGCCGGGAGCAGCCAGCGACGCCCCTGTCCTCGGCCAGCGCGGCGCCCACGCCCAGCCCCTCGCTTTTCTCCCGCGCCGGCGGCCAGGGGACCGCAG